ATATTTTTTTTTTTATTTTTTTTTTTTTATATTCAAATATACATTTATATATTTTTCTGCTCTCTAGAAACTCCCTATTGGATGTGACGAGGGCCCTGGGAATCATACGAGTGAAAAATCACAATCTTCCAGATCCTGCTTGGATCTGACGTCTCCGTCACCCTGCTCAGTTCGGCAATGGCTCTGTGCTTGGGGCAGGTTTTCAGCAAAGACAAAACATTCCGGCCTCGAAAGCGATTTGAACCTGGAACCCAGCGCTTTGAGCTGTACAAAAGAGCCCAAGCGTCTCTGAAATCAGGCCTGAACCTGAGGAAAGTGGTGCAGCTGCCGGACGGGGAGAACATTAATGACTGGATAGCTGTGCATGTGGTGGATTTCTTCAATCGAATCAACCTCATCTACGGGACCGTGAGTGAGTTCTGCACTGAGAAGAGCTGTCCCATCATGTCTGGAGGGCCACGTTATGAATACAGGTGGCAGGATGGGGATCAATACAAGAGGCCCACCAAACTGCCTGCTCTTATATACATGAACCTCCTGATGAACTGGATCGAGTCCCTCATCAACAATGAGGACATCTTTCCTACACGAGTAGGTGCGTGACGTCAGATATGTTTTCCAGACAAATCAAATCACTGTGATAGGGCTCATTTACTTTTGTTAATTTCCAAATTTTTATTTTCGTTTTTTAAAATTATGTTAAAAGTTAAAATTATGTCAGTGTGGGATAACGGTTTTAATATCATAATATAGAAACATGCTTTATTAAAAAGAGGAAACTCTTTCAACTCTTTTTAAAAAAATCTTTATCTTTTATTGTTATTTCTTAGAAAAAATATTTTAACAAAACTGCTTCACTGCTTATTAATATTTGAAAAACCTTCAAGTCACATAGTGCAAAAAACAGTTAATAAAACAGGAAATTGGGAGACACCTGCTGACTGTGTCAAGCTCAAGAACAGTGATATATTATAGTTTTTATTAATATTTTGAATCCGTTTTGTTCTTTTTTAGTTCCTAGAACTCTCGTGTAAGTAAACTATACTAACTAAGCATTTGTCAGTACAACATACTATTCCTATTTCACTTTACTGAGTTTTTTCAAGGCAATCGGTTTGCATGCTTTTTTTAAGTAAGCCCAACTAATTAGATTTTACAGTGTATTTATTTATCACATATGTGTCATGGTTATTGTCATAAATGTTATCCACTGCAGTTTCCCAGTTGCATAAACCCCCAATCTAATCAGCACATCATTCATTAAATGTTTTATATATATATATATATATATGTCTATTTAGCTTTTATTAATTTTTATTTCAGTTGTAGTTACCTCATGTTAAACTAAATTAAAATAAGAAATGTTGCCTTGGCAACTACCTGATTTTTAAAATTTCTGTAAACATTTATTTTATTTCAAGTAACAAATTATTATTATTATTTTTATTTTTATTTTTTTAAGTTTAGCTTTTTAAGGTTAATTTTAATTACAGTTATCAGATATATTTACTTACAAATATCAGATAATTTATCCTTTTCAATAAATAAAATGTAATAATATTTTTATGAATTAATAATGACATTTTTAAAAAGAACTTATATATATATAATATTTAAAAACATTTTTGAAAATAATTATTTAAATCACAAGTATTTACGGTATAAGGAAAATATGTTATTACATTTTATGTGATGGTTATCACATAATGAAAAGCAACATGAATACAAAGAGCACATACGAACTTAGCACATATGCATTACTGGATTTTCCTTTTCTTTATTGTGGACACTCCTATTTGTCATTGACCTTTAAGCTAATTTAGTAAATCGCTATGAAAAGCTTAGTATATTAATAAATGAGCAGAGATAATGGAAATAATGGAAATAAGACAAAAACAGTTCGACGTAGAAATATTAACGGGTAACTGGCTAGAGAAATGATCCAGTTACGTTTCTCAGGAATTGCCGTATAATTTGTGGGGCCAGGGATCACCAGATACATACTTCTGTCTGAAAAAAATATTACTGGATAGAGTTACAGAAGCTATACTTATAAGCACTGCCAACAATTCATAATTCCACAGACTGAACTATTGGCCGAAAACCCTCGAGACATACTCTGTGTGCTTTTTCTCCTAAAATAGCATTTGAATTTTCTCATGAAAGAAAATCATACAGCATCTTGAATGTGATGTGATTTGAGTGTGATGCTGGTTTTCTTCTGTTTTTAGGAGTCCCTTTTCCAAAGAACTTTCAGCAGGTGTGCAAGAAGATACTGAGCCGCTTGTTTCGGGTGTTTGTACACGTGTACATCCATCACTTTGACATGATCTGTAGTATGGGAGCTGAGGCCCACATCAACACCTGCTACAAACACTACTACTACTTCATCTCTGAGTTCAGCCTCATCGACCACTCGGAGCTGGAGCCGCTTGTGAGAGCGCTGTGCTTTCATTACTGTGGCCACATACACACTGCAGCTAAATGCAGCTTCATCTTCACCTTTTAGTGCTTAATCCTGTTCTGTACACGGACGGTTCAGTAATTTACGGGAGTGACAATTAAAAAAAGTTTGACTGCAGAAAAATTCAGGTAGTGGCAACCGCATTTACAGAAATTCTATGCAATGTGTACAGAACCGAACTTGATGTATTTAAATGCATATCAGAGTTGTGGTGCAAGTAATCACAGGAAAGGAGGTACAGCTTGACTCTGTGTTGCCAGATATTACTATAAAAAAGGCAAGATCCAAATGTGTTATCTTGGAAATAAGCACATACCAAAATATCATGACCTACACCTGCCTACATTGTTATCTCTATAAAATGAGCTGAGCCCAAACAACAAGGCCTAGAACACTTAATAAGCATTGCTTATAATGAGTAGACATGGCAACCTGGGGCCTGTTTCATAAAACAAGTTTACCAAACAAGCCAGGTTTATTTCAGTTAGTCTGACTTATTGTCAGTTGATGTGGTTCAAAATAAGTCCGACTAACTGAAATAAGCCTGGCTTGTTTGGTAAACTTGCTTTATGAAACAGGCCCCTTGCTCTGCGAAGCAGCCTTCCAACATAAACAAAACACGACAGCTCGGTTGACGGTGGTTTAGCTAAAGACGCGTTATGTTCATCGGTTTTAACTAAACCACCGACAAAAGAGCCGTTGTATTTTGTTTATGTTTTGGAAGGCTACTTTGCAGAGCTCGCTCTGGAAGTGTTGCCATGTCCACTTATTATAAGCGACGCTAATAAAGCATCGTTGGGCTTGGCTCATAGAGCGATCCAGTTTACGGAGTTAATAAAGTAGCAGGTGCAGGTCACTATATTTTGGTATGTGGCTTAGTTTAAAGAATCCATGTTTGGATGTGAGTTTAAGGGGGTTTTTTTCTAGCAAGATCTGACAACACTATGAGTCAAAACGTTCCCTATAATTTCTTTCATCCCTCATACAGTAATGACAAAACACTGATATGCATTTAAATACGTCATTAACAACTAATTGTACACTTCGGTTGTGCACATGCTGCGTAGAATTTCTGTAAATGCGGTTGTCACTTTTTCGGTTGTTCATTCGGTTGTAGAATTCGGATGTCACTCCCGTAAATTACTGAACTGTGTGTGAACAGAACAGTAATAAGCACTGAAAAGTGAATTGACAACCGATTTGAACTAAAGTGTGTACGTTGCGACTGTGTTACTGTTATTAGACACAAAACAATAAATTATGATAGTGGCAGTTAGCAGATTGCACTCTGCTTTAGCTAACTATGAACAACTAGATGCTGACAGCACATTGCAAATGCTTGTGATGTATGTCCTAATAACTTTGTCCTTTCTGTCTTCACAGAAAGAAATGACAGAGAAGATCTGTAACTGAAAGATGCGGAGAACGGATGGGAATCCAAATGTCAAACATTCAGACCCAAGTTCTGATCTAAGATCAGACGAGATCAGAGACTCACAAATGAGCTAAAAATGCAATGCATCTGTGCTTCTTACTGAAACACTTGTGGGTCCAGTAATTCAACACACGTTCTTGAGACAGTAAATGTTTAAATGATGTACTGTATCTCAAATTCTGGAGCAGTGATCTGAAATGATGCATCGATTGCTTAGTATTCTGCATACATTTTTTTGAGCAATTCACCACGTGACTTCAAAGAACCTTTTAAAATATTTGTTCCTGAGGATAACATGTCTGGAGATGGCATGTCTTAAACTTCTGCCAAGTCTGAGAGGCTGCATTCTTGCTCTGTCGTGTCTGTGCCAGTGCAGGGACAGAAGCCTTTGCTATCTTTATTTAACCAGGGCATGTGCAGTAAGAAACTATTACCATAGCTAGTGACTGATGATGAATAGTACTCAACGGTATTATTCTTATTTCAGACATTTTGTTCTGACAATGTATTTTTTGCATGCAAGTTTAAAATACAAACATTTTAAATGTCAATACTCTCTTCTTTATTTTTATTTATTTAAAAAAAAAATTTATTGGATCGGAAAATCCAAAACAAGTTTCTCAAAACAATGAAATATTACTTTCAGACATTTCTTATACTGTGTGAGCACAACTAATCTACATGAAAATGTATTTAATACAACAAATGTTAGGAAATATATAAGTACAATCTGATTCAAAACGTTAATACATTATAGCAGCATAATGATAACACCGAAACTCACTACACATCAAACTAGCGATTGCATAACTCTTTTATGGGGACTCTCCACTACGGACACGGTAGTCAGCAGCATTAACATTAAAAGATCGAGTTTCATTCCGTGTATGAGTCTAATCATTAAATTTGACCGACACCAATCCTGCATTCCTCCTTAGCCCTAGTCTGTGAGTGAAACCGGTATTTCTCCAGTGCGAAATACGAATATATGAATCAGATTCGTGGCAGCGCTGTCTTAGAATATGAATATTCATTAGCTCATGCTTACGTGACTTCGTAATCTCCCCTGTTCGCCCAATCACGTAACCTAATTAATATTCATGAACCAACTCGTCACCATAGTATGATTCGCAAATGCCCCACAGCGTCCAACAGTAGGAGGGCAGTTGGCGCGTTTGGGGTGGTGGAGCTGTTGTGTTTCTGTGTTGTTGTCCTCCTCCTCCTCACTGCTGCTGTTCAGCGCAGGATGATGGAGGCAGTCACGGCACAGCTAGACTCATTCGGCCGCAATTTCCAGGTTTGAGTTTTGTTTGGTTTGTTTTGTTTTTAAATATGCATAAAATATATAATGTATACATAACCGGTTTGTTACACGAGCTCAAATAGCTATACTAAGGTCAGCTCGCTGATGCTTACATCTGTGTCATGATATGGCTTTACGGATCGCTCGATTCGCGCCAAGGAATCGTTAGATCGCAAAAACAAACGCTTGTAACGTTCCTTAATTCTGAACGCGCGAGTTATCACAGTCAATCATTTCGTGTCTTAAAAACGAAGATTTTCAGTTACTCAAAAAGCATTATCTATTTGGTTAGCGCCATCATATTCTGCCGACACTGCTACACTTAATTAATTCTCTGACACTTGTTGCTTTTTTCGTAACACATTTTACAGTTCTTCTTTTCTTAAAGGGATAGTTAGTTCACTCCATAAAGAATTCTGTCAGTTGATTCAGTCAAACCGAGTCTTCGTGGAACATAAAAGAGGGACTGATATCCATTCCACTTTCATTGTGCAGTGAAAGTGAACCGCGACCGTGGTTGTCATTCTGCTTAATAACATTTATTTTCATGCATCACAGAGAAAAGAAAAACAATTTTTAGAATTTTTGGATGAATTGTTCCTTATCAGTCAGTTTTGACATCTACTGTTGCTTTAAATATGTTAATTTTCCCAGCCCTTACTACGCTAATCCATCCGTTACGTTATCCAAAAACCGTTATTATTTATTAACGAATGGCGATATCTCTTATACTACGATTTATATTGGTATTCTTTTCCTATATGTCACTTATCATTCAATCCACCTGAATTTCTCTGTAATTACGTAAAACCGTAATATATCCTGTTGAGTGTGCTGGATTTTCCCCTCAGCAGCCAGATGACAAGAATTTGACCAAACACGTCAGGACAGTGATATCGCTTCTCAATGCGGAAACTAAGTGTTTAAATAGCTCTAACATGATTTCACTCAACCTACTTTGAAGAAAACCAGCTGTCACGGTTCCGTCTCGCGCGGCTTCTGGAATGATCGTGTCTGCTTCTTCTTTCAGATCGCGGACCTTCAGGCGCTCCACTGCTCACGCCAGGTACTGGCAAGTATCACGATTTAACTTAAAACGGGCTTTTGACTTGTTTGTGAGTCTCAAACTGCGGGTAAATAAGTAAAACAGAACTAACCGTCTAGTATAGGCATTTCATGCTAGGTATGGGTGCACACATTAGTCACGTGAGCCTTATTCAGCGAGAAATCTGATAAGTGCACACTGCAAGTTTTACAGCTTAGTGTTCGCTTCCTCTTTCTCTGATATCGATAGTGAACTGCTAACTTATTGATCATTTAGTCTTACACAACTTTAATATGATGGAAATATAAGGATCATTTAGCCTTTAAACTTTTATGGGGAAGCATATAAAGCGCACAAGGTCATATCTGTATGCAGGTGAATGTCAGTGACCGCCTGGCTCTTGTTTACTCCATTGAAAATGCTCAAGTAAACACCTTTTGTGTTTATGCTTGATGCTTTGCATATTGCAAATAAGCTTTTTTTCCCAGCAGCCTTGGTTCCGGAAGTATTTTCCCCAATCATTTTCATATAGGCATATTTAAAAAGTCTTTATACCAAGAACCAAAACTATATGACTCGCAACATAAACTTTGATTTAAAGGAAAAAGTATTTGAAAATCAGACAAATTATTTACAAAGCACAAATAATTTTAAATAATGTGAACTGATGCGTAAAGCATATACAATCAATTAACAACATTGTATACAGGTTTACAAGTTATCATTCAAAATCAGCTCCCCTATGGAGAAAACGAAAGGGATTTTTATTTCTGCAACCCGACTATTGCACTCTATATGCCTCTAGAAGCAAAGGAGCTTTGCTGCTGTGTTTTAAATGTACATTTCTCTCTCTTTCTCACAGATAACCAGTAGCGCTCTGGCACCTGGCCAGGTGGAGAGCCGTGGTCCGATCTCTCATGCCCCCAACAGCCCCGCAGGTACAGATGCTTGTGACGAAACATTTAAAAATACACCCTTCAAATCATCCAGTCATTTCAAAAAACTAAATTCTGACAGAATACCTAAGAATCCGTGATGTAACATCTGGTGGATTTGTGTTTTTTTATTTCTTTTTTTTAATTTTGGGATTAGGAATGGAGAGCAGTCAACCAATCACCATCACAGACCCGGTTACACGGCGGAAAAAGAAACGAAGAACTCGGGCCACGGACAGTTTCACTGGCAAATTTATTGGTACTAAACCATCTAGATCTTTACAAAAACTCTTATTAATCCTCATAATGTGCGCCTTTTTGTTTTATGGTTTATCCTCAGCATGCAGTCTGTATAATCTGTGCATCATCAGATCTTTCAAAATGTGTGATTGCAACAATTCCTGATTGGGTAAGTCAACTCACAAGTGTGTGTGTGTTTTGTAGATCTGTACAAGCTGACGGACGAGCTGCTGGGTCAGGGAGCTTATGCTAAAGTCCAGGGCTGTGTGAGTTTACAGAACGGCAATGAGTATGCTGTCAAGGTGAGATGATTTTTATTTTTTTTTCATGATTTTGTAGTTACAATTACATGGTTTCTGTGGGTATTAAAAAGGTTTTAAAGTCTTTAATTTGCCCTTCCACAAATTAAAGCCTTAAATCAGAGCAGAAAGTCTTAAAATCAAGAAGTCATGGCATTAAATGTTGCATGCACTGCAAAATAAAAAATAAAAAATTCCAATACAAACATCCTTACATCAAGATACACTTGCTTGAGATGCAGAATGAAGAAATAAAGTCTTGTTTTCTGAGAAATTGGACAAAATGAAGTGAGTTTATGTTTAAAACAAGAACAAATATCTGTCAATGGGGAATAAAACCTTGTTTCCCTTGGAATTAAGTTGATTTTTCTGAGCCCATTGGCAGATATTTGTTCTTTTTTAATCAGAAACCCACTTCATTTTGATCAATTTCACTGAAAACAGTGAAATTGCTTGTTAAGTAAATGTTTTTCGATTTAAGAATTTGTACACATTTGCTCTGGAAAACAAGAGAAAAGTACAGATTAAATGTGGGGTAAGCGATTTTTCAAAAACGCTTTAGAAACCCAGATATGTATATATATCTATGGTGTAGACAGCATCACTGATTATAATGAGTTCTATAGTATTTTGTCGCGCCACGCCACTTGCGTCTGTTGTAGACATGGTGTAACATTGGTTTTGCTTTGTTTCACAGAACAAATCGTTGCCTGGGTTGCGTACGTATGGGTGGGGCGGAGCTATCAAAATAGGGGTGAGACCCTTTTGGGGTAGGGGCGTGTTTGTTTTGGTGATTTCAAATGTCAACATTAGCTACCAGAAATCGCTTACCCCACCTTTAAGAGCATCAGTTGTTTGCAGTGTGATCAGAAGGTACATTAAAAGCTACTTCTATATTCTAATGACACCTATTCAAACCATAAGCTTTTTTTTTTTGTTGTAAAATTAACTAAAAAGTTATGGAGATTGGTTGGAAGTTGTATTTTAATCTTTGAAGTGTTGCTAATACAATTGTGTTGCCTACATTTTCTTTACTTGGTGTTAAAAAGGTGTACATTTATCTTCATAAAACCTGCAGAAACCCTATGTACTTCCATAAGATAATAATACCAAAATGGTAAATATTTAGAAAAATAACAGAGTAGTTCTTTGTCAAACAGACTTTGTGTGTAACGTGTGGTTACGTTTCTCAGATAATTGAGAAGAACGCTGGTCACAGTCGCAGTAGAGTTTTCAGAGAGTTGGAGACGCTTTACCAGTGTCAAGGAAATAAGTATGATCCTATTCCACAGTACTCATTATACTTAACTTAATTTCAGAATTTACTGTAATTGATTGTAGTTCGTATTATACATAACTGCTCAACTGCATACATTGTGTGTTTCTCTATAGGAACATTCTGGAGCTCATTCAGTTTTTTGAAGATGACTGCTGTTTTCATCTGGTGTTTGAGAAGTTGCTTGGAGGTACTGTACAGTTGTATAATAAATTATATATACTAGTGGTCGACCGATATGGGTTTTTTGACAGCCGATACCGATGCCGATATCTTGGAAAGCAGGGTGGCCGATATAATTTTATTTATTTTAATTCGTATTTAAGAAATTTAAGTAACGAACCTGCACACTATCAATACTTGCTAATTCTTAAACTTTATTAAACGCAGCGTTTCTGTCCACTGACCTTCA